TATTTTGACTATATAGCACGAGTGATACGTCTCGCTCTAATTCGCATGTGTTCGATCGTGAAAGCTTGTTGAGTAGGGGGTCTACTCTCGATCTCCGTACGAAACAATTACTGCCAAATAAGCAATACTTGACCAAATGAAAAGACGCGTGATGCGAATGAAACTTCATACTTGATAGTTGTCTTTTAATTTTGTCGTAACAAGTATGTGACAAATCCCAGTGATGGAAAAATAATCTTCTAGCAACATTATGTGGTTATAAATATTGAGAACGCACTGATTTTCATAGGATTCAGTCCCGATATTTAATCACTACAATGATAGAGAAACATGCAACGTCAAGTGTTTGTCGAATTATCAAAAAACTTGAAATTGCATTAGTAAAATCAATAAAAGTAGTCCCAACATTGGTACCAACAATGAGTGCATTTCGTCAAGAAATAGAATTTGTGGAATAATTAAAAACATGAGAAAAAATTGAATTTTATTTATACAACATCTGTACATGCTGGAAAGTGTTTATAAACATCTAATAATCACAACTCTGCCGAATAAAAGCCGACTATAAACACGTATTTGTACCAGTGAACAGTAACATTTTATTTGCAGTTATAAAACAAAATTATAAATAAATAACGAATTATCAAAATGACGCTTTCACTTGAAAATGTTTATCGTCGTCGACCAAGAATATCAAACACAGGTCATATTATTCAAGATTTTGTAAGTAATTATGATTTGTCTAAGAAGCATTGAAAAAGCATATTTCTTAACTAGATAATTTATACCGAATGAATGATAATTTCGGTTAAAAACTCCTATATTTCATTACAATCACATTAGGTACGCCATAGTATGGTCACCCACTAATTCTTTGTTCAAAATATTTTTTGCACGTGGCAATGCTATTCCAATACTTTAAAGGGCAATGTAGTAGGCTCTGCGGTGCCAGCTGACGAACTGAAGTATGGAGAGACGTCGGTCAGGTAGTTCCTTGGTATTAGACCGATGAGCAGAGCTATTTTTGCCGCAATTGGAGCTTTCTCTTCGTCGTCTATTATAGTGTCTTGGTCTGGCATCACCTAAAAACAAAAAGGATTAAATTTTGCATAGTTTAGGGAAGTTACGTTGGGGATACCAGTACTTAAACGCAATTTTCCCCATTCGATAATAGCAATATAATTATGAAACCAAATTGTTAGAAAAAAACAAGCATACCTTGTCAGCAATGTGTTTTTGGACGAGTCCATCTGCACCCACGTAGAAAGTAGAGAAGCCGTCATACCAACTGGTAAAACAAAGCAAAATAAAACTTAATTTTTGTACGTGCTTTCCTCATGTGTGTAATGCCGTTTTTACGGTCGGTCTTTATTATGACTTTTAGGAAGTACTGCGACCATACCTATATCTGCCGCGAAGCAGTAATGTGAGCATTACTGCGTTCTGGTTTGAAGGCTAAGGTTGCTGGTGAAATTACGGGCACATGGGAGTTGTCAACTTCATGTGTCGTCGTAAATCGTATCGTCGTAGATTTTTGCAATTTAACCTCTGAGTGGCATTGCAACTGTTATTGATAGGCGTGTCGCTTACCACCCTGTGCATGACTTGTTCGGCCCGTTACCATAAAAAAAATTAAAACTTTTCAAAGTTAGTTTAAAGAGACATGTTTATTGAACGATGCACAATACGCTTTGAATACACGTCCTTTATTGTGTATAGCACAAACCAAATTAACCATTAAAGAAAAACAACCATATTCTAATACAAGACAGCTAGTGTCATCAACAACTCGTTACTTAGGCAACCTAGACTATAGTTTGTGAACCATTGACCTACAATGTTGTGAACATATAGGATTATACCGCGAGTTTTTGCTTCTTAAAAACAACAGTCGCAAATAACAAAAGTAAGTGCGTACATTTCATGCATGCCTCCATGTATATAGAGACATGTAACCATATGTATATGCGTGCATATAGCTGCGTAAGGAAATACGGTACGGTACACGCGCACGTATGTAAATGAGAATTTTATATGGGAGAGGCGGTATTCCCCTGGCATTGGCACAGTCGGCCGGGGTTAGGGACTCAGGTTCAAGAACCGGCGTATGATACATGCTTATTATTATTATTATATTTAATTTGAAGACTAAATTGCTCATTAAATTAGATAAAAATAAAGATGCCTAGTCTTTTCCATTGTAGTTTAAGGCAACATTGATAGTTAATGATTGAATTAATGAATGCCATCACTGCCATTGCACTGACACTCCACTGATAGGCAACTGCCCTTGCAACTAGATTTTAGAATTACAACTATGATAACAGTTGAAGAAGTTGTAAACCGCTAATGATCCGTGACCAGGATAACGGCAATAAAATTATACAATATTACTAGTTTAGATTGGTATTCATACTTTGGCATGGTAAACGATCCTGAATACTATAGAGCATAATTTCTCAAAGTGGTCCCTAGCGCCCCCAGTGGGCGCCGAGGAGTTCTGGGGTAGGGCATCGGAAGCAACTGGGAACGTTGATTCTGTCCAGAGGCTGCTACCTACCGCATTTCAAGAAAATATCAGAGTAAATAATAAATAAATAAATAATAAATAACACACACACTCAACATAGCCCCGCACTAGGGAAACCCTGTGTCGCGGGTGCCATGGACACACACACACATAGACAACCACAAATTACACCCAAACTCACGAGAGAAATCATTGTAGGCCATACAACTATTTCTCTCGGCCCGGGAATCGAACCTGGGACCTCTGCGTGGCAGACCGGCATGGTAACCGTTCGGCCAATGAGGCAGTTAGTATTTACACTACACTACATACATATATAATTTTTTTCCTTGTGATTTTATTATTAAATTAACATAAAAAATACGTGTTTTCGATTATATTTTGTAGTGGTGGGCCTTGAAATTTTTTTATCTTGCCTCGGTGGGCGGTGAGCTTAAAACTTTGGGAACCTATGCTATAGAGTATAGATGCGGGAAAATGATTGGACATTTGATACGACTCGACAATTTCTTTAAGACCATTTTGGATGGAAAGATTGAGGGGAAGAGGGGAAAAAGTCGACTGGGGGGAAATTACATAGACCAAATAAAGGAAAAGGCCGGTTTCATGTCGTACGTATCAGGAGGGCAAGGAGCTGACTTAGAAGAGAGGTGACTGGAAGATGCTCCACCGACAAGAGTATAACTCTTAAGTTTGATGATGATGAGATTGGTATCAAAATTAGCACATGATTTAGGTTGGGAATTGGCATCGAGTATATAACCAGAAGTAGAGACGAAATGTCATTCAATTTATTTGAAAACTATTCTGCCATATCATTACTGTGACATGTGGCTCCGATTGGCCAGCCCGAATTCGAAACAATTGACGGGTGTCGTCTATTGTTTCACTTCAAATCGACTAGTTAACTTGAGCTTTGCTATAATGGACGAAAATTGCAAAATTACATATTTAATATTTAATTACCGATGAAATTTGATTCCGTTTGTTTTGTAATCAGGTGTTTTGCTGTTTTTCCCCACACCATTGGAACAGCACGCCATTGTTAGAGATATTATCTTTATTGCAATAAATATAGGTCAGTTATTGGCGCTGTACTGTTTCAGCTTTCTAATTTGTAATTTCAGTGCAAACGAGAGTTGATATTTATAAGTGAGTTATCAGTGATGTGTTACCAGGAATATATGGCCCTTATTTCGTCTCTATTTCTGGTTATATACTCGATGGGAACTGGTAAAAAGATGAAAATTACACGAGCAGCACTGCTCGCTTCAGCGATTAAGCAGAGAATGACGACGGAACGAAAACAAAGTGAGAATAACGGGCAACGGTATTAAAGAACGATTCAAAATTGGAAAACAAGTGGCGAAATGACGATGGAAGGCGGTCGCATTGTCACATAGTTACGTCACTCTGCTAAAATCTAACAATAATAACTACAATAATATCTCAGTGAAGTCTCAATGAAATTGCAGTAAACAGTGGTTTCAAGAGAGCAGACTTAGCCTTAAAAACTGGAACGCAGTAATAAAGTCAAAGTCAATTAATCTTTATTTCATAGGTGAGCAAATTACACTTGAATTCGTCATATTGATTAAACTCTACTGTTCATTCGTAAGGCAGATTCCCCTGAGAAGAATGAGCAAGAAAGTTTAGGGGTTGCTCTTTGTAAATATACATTAGAATACATTTATCATTACAATATTTATATTAAATACCTTAGATCGGCAAATGCTCAAAATGCTTAAATGGCGGCAGGAATAGGTAAGGCGGCAGTACTACCCTGGATGTACTCTTTCACAACAAGCTGTATTGCTACGAGTTGTTTACTAAAAACAGGAAAAAATACTCACAGTTCTTGATCCTGCCAAACCTGCTTCATGTTCCAAAGTTTATATTTCCAAAAATTGAAAAACACCTTTAGGCCAGATATGCCTCGCACGCGCCATCTCATCCTAAATACAAATAATACATAATTTATTATAATTATTAACACAAAGATCGAACACTTGACAAAAAAACAGAATAAATAAAACATTCTGGACATGCAATAAAAATTTAAATACATAATTTAGCTATAGGTTTCCGCGATTGCAATACATAATACATTTCCAAACTATTTTTTCGGAACTCAAAAAATAATCGTATTCAGTATTCCGTCTCATGAAAATCCGAAGCACAAATAATACTGAAGTAGTACTTATATATAATATAATATGTTATATTTCAAATTCCCCTATAATAAACAAATTTAATGTAAAATTTCATATTGTTGTAATCGCAGTACAGAGTACTAAAAAATCCGACCTCAAAAGTTCGTTGAATTACAACTATTTGCCAAGTTTTATGACTTCGGTTAGCGGAATGTGCGCGAAACCAGATTCATCCCCTAGTTTGCCACCCTTAGAGGTGGAATATTTTCTTCAAATTTATATAATATTAATTAATTACTTTTTTCGAATTCATAAGAAATTTAATGAAACTCGTAGGTAACCAACTAACTACATATAATAATAATAAATAATATCCGCATTAGTTAAAATAAGTTTTTGCTTGTAGCTCACAAAAAATTTTTACTTTGGGGGAAGGTTGATCATCTACTATATTTTTCTTATATGGCGCTCCTAGTTACTTTGGAACCCAACTTCAGCTTCGTAAGAGTGATTACACACGGCGAGTTTTAGCAGCGATAGCATCGCTACACTTGCGATCTATAAGCGATTGCTTCGATGTAAACGCGACAGTGAAGTTAAAAAATATGAAATAAATAAATAAGTTAATTAATTTAAAACGTGCAACGCCTTCATATCGCGTTCGTATCGCTGCTAAAAGTCGCTGTGAGTAGTTTTATCTTACGATGCAGTGAAGTCAGAAAGTCGAAAAATTTATTAATTAATACTTGATGGTGTTAAGTACCTATGTTAATCCTTATGTATATATAGACATATATATCTACTCATTTGGTACAACCATCGAGTATACAACCAGAAATAGAGACGAAATGTCATTTAATTTGTTTGAAAACTATTCTGCCATATCATTACTGTGACAACTGTGCTCCGATTGGCCAGCCAGAATTCGAAACAATTGACTGGTGTTGTCAATTGTTTCACTTCAAATCGACCAGTTAAATTACATATTTAATATTTAATTACCGATGAAATTTGATTCCATTTGTTTTGTAATTAGATGTTTTGTTGTTTTTCCCCACACCACCGAATGGAACAGCACGCCATTGTTAGAGATATTATTTTTATTATAATAAATATAGAATATTTTTGGAATATACGGAGACGTACATACAGATCAGTTGTTGGCGCTGTACTATTTTAGCTTTCTAATTTGTAATTACAGTGCAAACGAGAGTTGATATTTATAAGTGATTTATCATTGATGATTTACCAGGAATGTATCCCTTTATTTCGTCTCCATTTCTGTTTATATAGGTACTCGATGGGTACAACCTATTCTTTACATTGTTGATGACTTTACCATCCCAGTCAATCATGACCATGGGACCTGTGAAGGACCCGAAACAATGCTTTGTTTAAAACTTCTTTAAAAGTATAATCCATGTGTAAAAACCTCACCAAAAAGCTGTAAAAATACCTCACCTTATAGATGAGTCCTCGGGATGGGCTGTGATCTTCATGACTTCAAATTTGACATAGGCAAACTTCAGATGACCAACTGTTCGGAGTAGTGCCACTTGTTTCACATAATGATAGAGACCTCTGTAAAATCACCGTTTATTATCTACGTAAGAGAGAGAGGAGAATCACTTTTGTTTGTAAAAGGCTGGAAAATGCTATTACGAGCCTAAGTGTGAATTGAAGAAGGATATGTTATTAAAACATGGTCAACTCTGTAATTGATTATGGAATTTATATTTTTATATGTAATAATGATATTTTATTTGTAGTGATACTTACACAGTGGTCATTCCCCGAATGTTGTTTACAAATATTAGATTAGGATGATATATGGAATAGTCCAAAGGTTTTATGAACAAGGTGGGCATCTGAAAAGCAGTAAATATAGAAAATAAAATAATTGTAAAGTTGGTAACATATACAATACACATTTTAAAAAAATTGGAGACTGGAAACTGAGCACAGAGAATGTATATAGAAAGTGGTAGCCTATAGGGAGAATGCAACATCTGCATTATCATCGGCTTGTAGCTCTGGCAGCACGCATGACTTTCGTTTATTTAATTTACGTTTGTAAATATTTTGTAGCAATACTTCTCACTAAAGGTGAAAAGAAACACAATTGACAAACCTGCATGTCGAAGAAAGTTCACAGTCCTTGAAAAACGTGTGAATGTGAGAGACTATGACCTAAACCTCCTCTTTAAAGGACAACCCTTCTGAGCAGTCGGATGAATAATAATGATAAATGAACATAATTATACTGAATTGGTTGATAAGCACAAAGTAACAACAGTAGAACTTAACTGCCTCCGTGGCCGAACGGTTACCATGCCGTACTGCCATACTCGAGGTTCGATTTCCGGGCCGGGAGAAATAATTCTATGGCCTACATTTAATTCTCTCATGAGTTTGTGGTTGTCTATATGTGTGTCCTTGGCACCCGCGAGACAGGGTTTCCCTAGTGCGGGACTATATTGAATGTGTGCGTTATTATACAAAAAAACTACAAATGTAGGGAAAAGAGAGAAATAAATATGGGATAAGTGTCATTATCATTAGCAACCGTAAGACTTCAGTAATCAATCATAGCAAGAAGAGTAAAGAATCACTCCATTCGAATACTCTCCGACAGTATGTCAGTACTTCAAGCACAGCTTCATACTTCATGAACAGCTATAAGATAAACTCAGGGCTCATTTACGAATGCCATCAAGCACTCATGGAGGTATGTATACAAAACCATGTAACTCTACAGTAGATTACAGGACACAGCGGCTCACGTGGCAATGACTTGACACTTGTCTTAATTTTAATTATAACACATGTAACACGTTCTTTTTATGTTCTTTTTATGTACAAATAAATAAAAAAAAAAAATGACGCAGTAGATGTACTAGCCAAAAAAGTGTCGGTGACGGACGCTGTAAGACCAGAACCCATAGTGTCCGTCCCCTACCAATGATCCAGAACAACTATGCACAAAGATACAAAATCTTCACATAATAATACATGGACCAACCACCCTTACGGTTTGTAGACATGCGAGGAAAGCACTCCCAACGCTCAATGCCAGTCTATCTCGAATATTAATTAAACTTAAAAGGCAAGAGCTTCGCACTCTAACTGCCGCCCTGACGGGTCAAGATCCATACAATAAACACCTTTTTAATTTAGGTATCACAGACAGCCCTCTATGCAGAGCGTGCATGGAGGGGGAGGAAACGGCTGCGCGCATCCTACTACAGTGCGCCGGCGTGGTCAACTACAGGGCGAAGTACCTTGGAGTGCCAAGGTCGCTCCCCGAAGTCTTCAGCAAACCAAGGAGGCTGCTGAGATTCCTGGAGGAGCTTGGGTGGCACGAGTGGGACCCTGCACCCACCACACTCAAAATAGGCGCCTTGAAGTCGAGTTGCGGATACCAGCCCGTTACACCAAGTACCAAGTAAGACTTCAGTAAAATAAAGTAAAAGATATTACAACAGCACATTGAGCAAGTTGGTTCTTTTCGTTAACTTCAAGGATTAGGAAGGTGAACAGTCAATAAGTAAGTCACATTTGCAACATATGTTTAATAAAAAGAAAACACTTTTATAAGATAATAATCAGATATCTGAAAAGTGAGAAATTACACCAAGTGGGGTATAAACTAGTTGTTCCATTGTCATTTACAATTCTAAATATACGTCTATAGTAGTTCCACACGCAAAACAGGCTCTTTGTCATTGAGTTGCGGACACCAGACCATTGCACCAAGTACCAAGTAGTACATCTATAATCTTTTGATTAGGCGACTTACAACTATGGTTGATTTTAAGTTCTTGCCATAGAGAAAACCAGTCATGATTATAGACACATCAAAAGCTCACAATAAGAGTTGCTTTAATACCGTTTTGTATGTAATAATACTTTTAAAGTTGGTATTTAACCCGTTGACAGAGTGCTGAAGCTCTTTCTGATGAGAAGCAATACCTCACATGGGAGTAGTGACAGATAAAATAGGAGACTTATTTATATGTATACATACTTTATGAGGCCGACATAAACGCCCGAACGTTTCGGGCCTCTTAAAACTAGATTTTAAAAAAAAGTTGGTATTTATAATTATATGCTCGTAGTGTAATACTTACAGTTGCTGATAGCACATGGTAGACCTTCATTAATTGTTCCTCACTAGGCCTGCCCTCCCTGGCAGGATCTACGGATCTCACAGGGGACGGCAGGCTGGGACTGTTGCAGTATGCCACAGCACTGCGCTCGAATTCGGACAGACATGTTGGTTCTATATCCTGGAGGGATAAGAATGATAATTTCTTTTGTTTCATTCAATTAAATAAGTACACAAACACAAAAAGAATTTCTTAATGTGAAGTATATTCACAAAAACAGATAAACATTCAATATTCATTATAATTACTAATACAAAGATTGAACATTTAGAAAAAATTCCTTCTATCTGGCCGGATCCAAACCAACGTCTTCTAGCAAACCGTGTCAGATGCTATGCCAACTAAGCCATGGAACGAACCAGCAGACCTCATGAATTTTTCTATGTGCTTGTTTGTCGGATCATTGTATTTGGTTTTTCAATGACTTTTTAGCTGTAGCGGAATCTATGAGACATCTATGAAAGTATGTTATCATCCTGTTAGATGACGAAATACTTTCAAATCATCAGTCCGAACCTGTCTGGATCGAAGGATTTTTTTCTAAATGTTCATTCTTTGTATTAATAATTATAACAAACTAATGGAGTAATTTCATGAAAACAATTGAATAATCAATTCAATACAAATTTAATTAAATGTTCAATTACCTCATTATTGTATTTTGATAAATCTATGTCCCGGATACTGCTATAAGAAATATCATTGAAAGTGTATTGTGGCCTTCTTTGTTCAACATAATCATCACTCGTCAGGCCTAAGCTCCGCACTCCTATGCCGTGACTGCTGTCATTAAAGTCTTTAATACTATCTAAGTTTTCTACAAGGCTACATTTGTTTTGTGGTGTAAACTGGTGTAATTGATTGGAAATAGCCAGCTCATGAAGGTAAATGTCGTCAATGTTGCTTTCTGTGGTACACTTCGGTGCTGGGCGGCAGCTTGAGATGCGTCGTCGGTTTAGAAACTAAAAAAAAAACAATTCTTTATTATGGATGGAAAGGTACTAGTTGACAACACAATGTAATGGATAATAATGATATTACGTTGGCACATTATGTAAATAAACATGCACACACCACGTGAGCGCAATCGAACGATTTCAGCACTCGTGCTAATTGTTTCAGTGTCAATTTAGGTAAATTGGCATAAGAAAAGAAAACAACGTTTTTGCAAGCTGTGACTCTATGTCACGTGATAAATTATGAAATTGTTCTAATTAATAATTGTAATCAGTGAACAAAAGTTGTAAGAATACAGACAATACTTACATCTTCCAGAAATTGCGTCCGCAATGGGATCTTACGAGTCAAACGGTTGGAATGGTTTTTCGTTGAGACGATCCCATTTATGGGTAATATTTTGTGGGAAAATGTACGCAAGCAAATTGCCATGATTACATGAGTTGTATTTCACTGTTTAGTGCAGAAATTCCGAATTTTTTCGAAAATAGTGTCGCAGAAAATTCCGACATATCGCACCGGACTTGACAGATACATTTTTTTAAGTCAGAACATATGGTTTGCATGTGAATCTATACATTCAGCCAAGTGTATTGTACAAGGAAAATAATAACATACGGTTAGATCAGCTGTCAGTTTGACGTTCCAGGTTTTTTCAGTTGTGTGTTGGTTGATTGATAGTAATCAGTGGATTTCTCTTTTGAGACGTATTCAGTGAGAAACCGCTCTATTTACGAGTGTAAATTGAATTCTCACCAATAAGTTCACTTCTACAAAATATGAACATACAAAAGGCGCTGCACAGGGTGTACAATCAGCTCGTAGTATCTAACGTTAACATTGTATGTACTTACTATAATTATATTTTAAGTTCCTTCAAAATAACTTCACAGTGAATTCTTATAAACAGTCTTATTCGTAGTATAGTAGTCTTATACGTTACGTATTACTTGCATGAAATTGCTTACATTTTTTTATTCTTATTGTAGAATGTACCATGTAGTTACTTCGTTAGACAAAATCATGACAAAGCGGATCTGAACGAGCACAGGGCTAAGGTAATGGGCAGAGGGCTGCCTGTCAAAAAACCCCTGCCTGGTGTAAAAAGCATAGTTCTGGTAGCTTCTGGTAAAGGTGGTGTTGGAAAAACTACCACAGCAGGTAAAAAGTTTTAATACATCAATTTACGGAGTTCTTCATATTTGTGAGCTAGGCTATTCTATATAATAATATATATATATAAAGTAATTTTTCATGACAAAGAAGTAAATTTTGAGTAGGTAGATAGATATGAAGAACTCATTTATTATAAAATAGAATCGTTTGCCTTTTCTTCCCTGATGTGTTGAAATAATTAATAATAATATAATAATAAATACATACATAATTAAATAAATAATGCACACCCTCACAGCCCCACACTAGGGAAATCCTGGCCATAGGCCATACAAATATTTCTGTCGGCTCTGTATGGCAGCACAGCATGGTAACCATTTGGCCACGGAAGACAACAATGGAATTTTGAAGCTGAAATTAAGTTTGACAAAATCAAAATGTAGGTTATTTCAAATCACATTTTTTTTTAGTGAATCTCGCATGTGCCATGAAAGTGATAGAGCCAGACAAGGAGATAGGTCTCCTAGATGCAGACGTGTTTGGCCCTTCTGTACCTCTGATGATGAATATTAGTGGAGAGCCCATGCTTAATGACGATAACCTCATTGAACCATTGCTTAATTATGGTGTTAAATGGTAAGAGTGTAAGGCTTGTAGTAGCAAATTGTTCATTTCGCATTGAGTTTTAAAAGCTCTGAGTTTTTAAGGGTAGTTTTTTTCTGTTTATTGTTTGATTGCCTATTACAATTTGTTTGCTTAAATTTTATTTATAATTTGTGTCTGTAGGACTAACAGGACAGGGCGCGCCTTCCGCGAGAGCGACATAAAGCGCGAGATCTTTTATGAATTGTAGTAATTCACACTCTATGTCGCGCCTTGTCAAGCTAGCCCTACTTGGCCCACATCTTCAGGTTCACTATAAGTTCTTGAAAGTTCTATTGTTATAACTTGGACATAGAATAACACTTAATTCAGGACATGGTTTTAGTATGTCTATGGGACTGCTAGTAGCAGGCGAGAACGCTGTAGTATGGCGTGGACTTATGGTCATGCAGGCCTTGGAGCGATTGACGCGACACGTCGCATGGGGCCCCCTCGATTGCCTCATTGTGGACACGCCCCCTGGCACTGGGGACACACACTTGTCACTGGCGCAGAACTTGCCTATTGACGGTATGTACTTGTGCTGCCTTTTTTCGATCACACAGATTTGCCATTACAATAAGCGGTTACACACAGCGACTTGAGCACTAGCGATTTATAGGTCACGCGCATCGCAACCATATCACTGCAGCTGCGGGTGCATCGCGGCTTAAGTCCCGTGTGTGTGTTTAAAGATAGAATATTAGCTATTGAATCGCTGCAGACGACGCTGCTAAACGTCGCCGTGTGTAACCGCTCTATGAGTCAAAATACGTTCTTCGATGACGATTAGAACGTACAAAAAGCGCGACTAGCTCGGAATGGCATTAGCACCCATTTCGCATCGACGACATTTGTACATTTTGTACATTGTCTACAGATTACCGTACTAATGCGTATTTGTATGGACGAAATCCTGGGGTCTTAATGTAAGTTTGCAAATATGTACTTAACTTAACCATCGCATTTGCGTTAAAATTTTTATTTAATCTTTTGTATGGTTCAAAATTAAAATCTTAACGATAACGCGGTTGTTAATTTGAATAATTTCATATTCACAGTCTGACCCTATATGAAATTGATATTCGTGAACATCGTTGACACATGGTATAATAAGACAAGTAGTGTAACATCATACAACGTAGCAGCGCCGATATTGTACGTGTGCATGCCTGCCGCGCGCCGTCTACGGAAGCACACATTGGCATAATCTCGCGGTGCACTCGAGTTGCACAGCGTGAATCGCGCTCGCCATTCATTGTAGAATTGAAGCGTTCGCTCGGTATTTTATTTATAGTGTATTTTTCTATGTCAAATTTACAATTAACTCACTCCTCATGGAAGAATGGCATAAGTGGAATTACGTCAAACATGTTTATTGCTCCTTTAGATACTGAAAAATATAACCCACATCCTTTACAATTGGAGATTAGATACAGAAAAACTTTTTTTCCTGTATCTAATAGAGCAATAACATGTTTGACGTAATTCCACTTATACCATTCTTCCATGAGGCGTGCGAATTTTTGATTTATAAATATATCGTGTATATAACGAGCCCTGTATACGCCACCTAATCTAACCTTTAATCCTTACATTGACTGGCCAAACATCCGTTGAGAGGCATACGTCAAACGAAGCAATCGAGACTCCTATTTTGTACGATTTATAGTCCCCTCTTGAAGTAAGTACATGCACAACACATCTACCTGTAGGGCACAGCTGACGAAGGTACTTTCTAATGTCGTTTATCTCGGACTCCATATTCCACAGATGCGTGTATTTCCGTGGTTCAACAGTTTTCAGCATTGTTTTGGCTGCGTTTGCATTGCCTTAAAGGGACGCGAGCCGTTTACTTTTTCTTTTGTTCACCTCATTCCAGCGCTTTGAGCGCTGAAGATCTACGCGAGCGTCATCCTCATTTGCAGCTGCCTGGGAGTTGTTTGCTTTCTTTTTATCAGAGGTAGATGCAGCATGCGAAGGCTCTGCTTACGTCTTCTGGGTAATTGGCAGAAAAGAGTAATGACAAACGATGGTGGTCTTAATCTGTTTACTAAAGCTATGCAATCAAATATTTAAGTTTCATGTAATGTTGTCCTCCAGCATAACTATTAGGAAAGTAGTTTCGCCCCGCGGTAATAGTTTCGTCATTTAAAAGTTCCTGGAGTGGTGCGCCTCACATATACGACATGTCTACTAGGAATTATTCGTTTAAACGACAGCTGAAACGCGGTTCAGACAAAAGTAGGCAAAGAATGTATTTGATCTGAGTAACTTAACGTTGTTTCCGTAGGAAGACCGTAGCATACAAAAGCGGAAATTGAAAACATAGTATAAAGGGTGGAATATAATATCCACGATATATGGTTTCTTATCTCAAGTTGTCCAAATAGCGATGCATCGTGGAGAATACTCTTCATGATCGCTACTAATAATTGCTGCTATTTCTCGACCTAACGGATGATCTGCAAGAATATTTACGTGTGTAGCACGGCTGGTCTGTTAATTAAAGTAATACCTCTGATGTCGTTTCTGAATTTAATTGTTTAATAATGCTAATTTAATTATTTATTTAGTCATGAATCCCATTACATTACACATTCTTTACAGTCATAAAAATGGGAAAACAAAAAATAAAATAAAATCTATGTTACTAATTAAAAATGTTAGTACCTATGTAATAAAATTAAAATTCAATTAATAAGATTATAATTGTTATATTTGGTGACATTATTTAGATTTTTTTGATTGATTATAATTGGTGACATAAAAACAATTACAATAGTCTCATTGTTGAAGCCTCTTATTCTTTCGGGTAACTGCCTTCGATATACTTGTGAAATTAAACTCCTTAATCATGTGAAGTGGACTGTATATTCATAGAAACTTATGTCGATCTGACTTACAACCGTGAACACGTCTTACTACCAAGAGCGCAAGAATACAAATGAATCTAATCCAAGAATCTAATTAATGAATCTAATCGAAAATCTAAATAAGAGGTTTGCTTATATTTATACCGGTACGGTGTCTCCTACACCGTACTGGTCCTATCAATGGGTCGCTACGCCTCTCGGCCAATCAGAGCTCCTGAATTATTCATTTTCCTCAGAATTCTAGCTCCGACCGGCCAGGCGCGTACGGCCGTCCGTAACACTCATCTTAAAAACAAAGTTTGCACAAGTTCATTCCTGGACTTATTTAGTCTTTTTGTAAAAGAGCACTGACATTTTTGGTAACAGGGCGTAAAAATCGTCAGGACAAACATGCCAGAGCAAAACGCGCTCCAGTGCCATAGCAGACGTAACATGGCTCGAAATGCCTTGTTGTACGGTTGTCGGTAGTTCGTAGGATTGCTTAGATCTATATCCTAATTTCCATATAACTGTGTGATGTGCAATTATAAAAAATTATTGTCATGTATTCATGCAACAAAACATTTATGAATGTTTTAACATTCAATGAAAGGATTTACATTATGTAAAAAATTATTAATGCACCGAACAACTTTCATATGATTATCTAAATTTTGACCAGCGGCAAATCTTTCCCTCTCACTGTCATTGATCTGCAACATAATATCTAATATTGTTAGGTGTATCCTCGTATGCCAAATCTAAAACCCTGTGATAACTACTACTTTTAACCGATTTATTTCGGAGCGATGCTCATTATACATACTAAAGCCGGGTACTTACTAGCGAGCTGTAACCGTTGCATGTTATGTAACCAAAAATGACAGTGTGTACGTGGTTCGCGAGCTTGCCGCGAGCGGTTCGCAGTGAGCCGTCTGATTGAAGACTGTTTCAAGCGTACATACTAGAACCGCGTTACTGTATCTGTCACTTTACAGTTTACCCGGATATGGCTAACTGTTTCACGGTGCACATCTGGGTTTTGTATTATATTGCTCTTGCGCGATCCTATATACTTCTAGATCCAGAAGTAGAATCTGTTATTATATTTTTCTTGAGCGATCTTCTGTACATCTGGATTATTTATTTTTTGTTACTGTGCGGCGATTGATGACTGGAATAGATTTGTTATTATTTTTTTACCGCCTCCGATGCGCAATTTTGTTAGTAGATGCTATGCCTCGTTTTCGGTTTCGGTCGGCCTCTCTTATTGTCAAACTACTAACCACATTTGCTTTTTCAATTACGTGCTGAGGCTTATGGATTCATACCGCTAAGTGGATGCATATATTTTGATTTTACACCGTAGGTTATTATCTTTTTTTCGCTAATTATCTTAAAGACCGCAGGCAGTTTGTGCAAATTTCTAGTTTTCGGTCAAAGGATTATTTTACTCGCTCTGGCGTAAGCCAGGGAAGTAACCTAGGCCCGATATAATTTTTGATAATGGTAAACGATCTCAGCAATCAATCAATCAATGCAATTCGCATTACATGAGCATATTCTCTGATATTTGCAGACGACCTCAAACTAATGCACCCTGTTAACCAAGTTTCTGAATGTGAGTCACTTAAACGGGTGGTTGACGCTGTAACACAGTGCAAATAACAAGTTGCCACTTAATAGACTCGAGTGTAAAATCATTTCATTCACTCGATCTGACAATCCAATCAATGCGAACTATTATCTGTCGGGTGTTCCGCTTGTCCATATCAATAGGTACAATACGGGACCTAGGGCTAACATTAGATACCCATTTGAATATACATGATCAGAAATAATAATTTGCAAAACAACTCACAGGGTGCTAGGGTTTATTATAAGGACAGCGTCTCAATTCCGCGACCCAAAAGTTGCTCTGTTACTTGACAAAGCGTACATTCGATCCAAGCTCGAGTAGGTATAATGCTTTGGTGTGGGATTCCCTAGAAGCACAACACGCCTTAATGATTGAGAGAGAACAATGCAAATTTGCTACGGCTATTGCCAATTTCTTTACCCCTCACTGTTTGTTTCTGCGATGATACCCCTTGAGTCGCTTGAAGTGAAACGGAAGATTAGGCTTCTTACCCACTACTGCCTACTCATACGCCATAAAATAGATAACCCTTTCGTTATCGAAAGACTGAGTCTATTTGCGTCTGTTCGATTTATATTTTAAGATGTCATTATATATCAAACTTATGTTGCTGGACGTTTGGGTTGACCTATAAGTTCACAAGAGTCTTATTATAAATTAAAAAAAATATTAGATGTGGTATTACCGTAAGTAGCCAAAGGTTCATTGACAGCTACTGGTTTTAAAACTGACAGTTTTAAATCATCTATTTTTCTACCGTAGCCACTGGTTTTAGAGGCAAACTTTAACATAATTTTTTGGTTGCGCGGTTACCGTATTAGTTGTCGTTGCAGTATTATTCTAAAATCCACAAAATTTTGAAGTACAAATTGAGATGAGAAAAATTGTATTTGGATAATAATACTAATGAATACTGAACTATTGATTGACAAATATGCCGAAATACCAAAAAAAAAA